CTGATTTATCATCACAGCCTCATTATCAGAATGACTCTTCATTAGTTATCCAAACCATAGATTACATTCTTTCCACCAACTTTATTATTATAATATTGTTACATGGATGTAATCTGGAACCTTGCTAGGACTGTATACTAATGAATACACAGTCATCATGTTGTAAAAAACATTGCTACTGCAGTGCAACACTAAGTGTTTGAACTAAACGCTCTGCTGGTGTCCATGCATGTACGTGCTCCACTACTAATCCAATCACATTTAATGGTGATGTGAGAACATTAACCTAAAAGCAGAGGTTTACCTCCCCTTGCCTTTTAAAATGCATGGTGAATGTTTTTGAATTTCAAATATGTCACGCTTAAAGCATTATTTTTTTCCTGTTTTGTACACCAACTATACATTTGTGTAATGTCATTACGATATTTAGATCAGTATGTACTGTCTGGCCATCCTTGATTTCCACATTTAATAGCTGATTCCTTTCATTCATCATACTTAGTTTTTCCTATCACATTTTCATCTGAGCACCCATGTGCATCTGCGTGCTCTTTTTTTTTTTCCCTGTTGCAACTTGAGTAAAAGAGCAACGATTTGCCATGTTTACTTAATCACATTTCCCCTCCTTTCGGCATCACTGCATTAGCAGCATGGATGAACATTAATGGAAGAGGTGATTTTTCTTCTAATAATGAAGTGGAATTTCCACATGATTTGTGGCCCTCGTCCATATTTTCGCTCTCGGTATTTCAAAACAGAGGTTATAATAGCGGCTCGATTATTGTTGCAGAGGGAAGATAATGCAAGTTAAATTAGTGTTCTTCAGGCTGGGTTTCCCTCCTCGTACATTGCGGCATTGAACATCACAAGACACGTAAATGCTTGACTGAGTGGTTGTGGTTTTCATTCAGAGTACAGAGGGTAATTACTTTACAAGGTGTATCAGGCACGTTATTTTACTATTAATTAGCTCGTGCTCAAGAACTACCATAAAATGACAGTGTTCTTCTACTTTTAGCTTAGGTTTAAACAGATAGCACTGAGCCATACGGGTTTTGGTGCTGAATCTAAGCATTTGTGACAAAGATTTACAACTGGTGCAGGCAAATTGTCAGAAGCGATTAATGTTCACTTCACAAGTCCTGAGGCTGGTTTGTATCTGAAAGCCTCTGGACTGGTTCACTAGTATTGGGCGACCAAGGACAAATTGCTTGTGACACCGTTTTTACAGCACTCAGTTCAAAATCACCTTTTATTTTTGCACACTTGTATGTGTTAGAGAGAAGCAGAGGAGAGGAGGATGAGTTTGCCATTGGCTGGTTTACATTTGTTTTTGTTTTTTAACATCCTGCATTAAAAAGTCACAGTTTTACGGAGTTGACAAATGGGCAACATGTGTAATCAACTTGCTGGTATTAATGAGACTATTATCTTTTTTTTGATGGGTTTTTATTGGTAGTAGTTAATAAGCAGCCGTGAAGAGACGTGGGAGGAAAATAAACAGATGACGCTTGGTGGCAGAGAATTAACAGGTTTTTTTCTTTGCCTTGTGAAGCATCTTAAAAACACAGCTTTGTCGATAAAGTGCTCCTATTTGGCCTCTAGAAATAACATCACTTTCTCCTTTAAACAGAGGAGGCCTCGATTATGCACAATAAATCTTCTAAAATGGTTTGAATGTATGGGGAGGACAGTCATAGTTATCAAGCTATGCCAATGTTTTAAGAGGCAACATTTCAAATCCACTGCAAACCTCCATTACAGTTCTCACAGCTTAAAGGAGTAGCTCAGATTTTGGAAGTGATGTCAAGTAAAGTTACAGGCTGTATGTGCAGCAGGAAGATCAGTGGTGGAACGTAACAAAGTACATATAACTGATTACTGTACTTAAGTACTTGTTTTTTAGTTTCTTGAGTTTTTTGTTTGAGGGGGTACTTTCGAGCCCCCATTAAGGGGTAGTTGCTAGTTATTTCTTCCTTTTTGCTCAGCTTAGCTTTGCAATCTGTTGTTACTGTTTTTTTTTTTTTTTTTTTTTTTCCTTGAAATGCAGTTTCAACATGCAAGATAGCACCCTTTTGGACTAAATTTGGACAACACTTTTTGTGATTTGCATGACGTTTCACGAATGTGGCAGATAGTATTTGTAGTTTATACATTTTTTTAAGGCGTTAGTTGGCCATGTGGCCAAGTTGTTCAGTAGGATCAGTTCTCAAAGCAGATATGCGGTTTCTATCTGGTTATAGATTCAACCTAAAACCTCGATTACACAGTGAAAGTGTGAGGAGAAGGGAGACACTCCTGTTTTATTTTTCTTTTTTTTTTTTAAGAAATCACTTCAAACTAGCTGTCCTTATTTTTTGGGAAGGGCATTTCTAAGCTGAAGTTGTTTACAGGTGGTGTAATTTGCAGCAGGTGGTTCTATTCACCATAGTTGGTTTCTGAAAGTTACAAAGTTGGTTAGAGCATTGCGCCTGGTATCAGAGGTTCTGAGTTCAAGACCCACACACTCCCACTTACTCCCACTCTGGGTCCCTGAGCAAGACCCTTAACCCCAGACTGCTCCCGGGGCGGCACTCATTGGCAGCCCACTGCAGAGAGTGAATGTAACCATTGTGGGACAATAAAGAATGTATGCATCACATTTAAAAGTACTCTGAAAATTATAAATTTACTGGTACAAGAAAATTATATTTGTATGTTGCATGCTTAATTATTTTCAAAAGTGAACACTTAAATACGTTAACTTGAGTAGATTTTTGACCTAGTAACATTTAATTGTATATAAGTAAGATTTAATAAGATTTATCATAAGAATAATTTTAGTCAAGTACTACTGTTGAATCCTTCATCAACCACTGAGAAAGGCATCATATTTTTGTGATTTGAATAAGTTGTGAATAATTCAAAATAGTCAGTATCTCCTTCACATAAGATCAGCCAAATTCAAATAGCAGTCATGACAACTTCAACACCATTTCTTAAAACTCTTTTATACCTTCTCCTTTTTTAAACTCCTTACTAATATAGCATCAGTAGGATAGTTTTTTAGTTTTTCTTAAATTTTTTTGTGAGTTAAACAAATGAGAATCTGTAGTCAAACACTTATTACCGTTATGGGAGAAGTGGAGTTGGTGGAGGAGAAGAAATCCGGCGGGGTTCGCTGGACAAGACATGCAGGTATAAAGCCCTTTACACAAAAGGAAGGAGCAGACTGTACTTCTTGATGAAAGCTTATGTCCTTCAGTGTTTTTAGCAAGATGCTCCATATCCTAGAAAAGTCTGTTACGGAAATTGATCTCTTCTGCCGTAAGATAAGGGTGTAAAGAAGCAAAAGGAGCCAATAAATAAAATCAGATCTGTTCTAAGAAGTCCTCTAGAACCTTTGGAAATGATTTTACTGAGATTTTTTCATAAAATGTGTTATAGGCAACCTGGTGCATCCTTTTCATCATGCTACATTCACACCTAAAGTGCTTTGGGCAGAAAAAAAGCTTCTGCTGCTTCATCTGCTGCTTTGATGCTCCTGAAGCGTGTCCAGTAAAGTTTGTCCAGATGCGACTGATGCTTTTGCTGCTCCTGTTTTCAATGGCAGAGAGTGGCTTTGCTATATTTGCCATGAGCAGTGGGTAAAAAGTAGTTTTAATATATTTTTATGTGAGAAAGTCCTCCTCAAAACATTGTCTGTCCAGTCAGTTAATCAAGATTATGATCCTCCCTTAAAATATTTTGTTGTTGGAGCCGCTCAGACCCCACCATTCTGGTGCTGCGCTATCATTGGTCATCCCCAGCAGCAGCTGCCTCAGGCTGGATCGCCTCGTGGGGGTTTTCCCCTGCTGTTCATGGCAGTTGGCAGTTAGATGTTAACGTTTTACAGGTTTGTGGTCCAAACTGCAGGCACCAGAATAATAAAAGCTAACATTGCAGTCTTCAACATTTTAAGTTGATTTAGGCATGAATGAACTGTTTCAGAGAAGGGATCATAGTGATCTGCATCAGCAGTGCTGTGTGCGTCTGCCTTCCAGCTCCCAGATCAGCTTCTCTGATTGGTCGATGTGGCACGTCGAGCAGTGAAAATTCTAGAGAAGTCCAGCATCTACTTCTTGTGAAGTGCATCACATGCCTCAGATGCTCAGAAGCTTTTGAGGAGCTGCTCAGATGCGTCAAGATGCGAAACTCCTGCTGCTCGAACATGCTGCAGGACCTGTTGATTCATGTCAACCATAGACTTTTCATGTAAAACGGCTGCATCTGCTACTCAAAGCGTTAATGAAGCATCACTCTCTTTACTCTTTTCAATTCAATTTGCTTTATTTATATAGTGAGAATTTACAACATATCTGAAGGCACTTTACAAAGCTAACTTAATCAGATTGTGCAGGTAGACTGATAAAAAGTTTTTATTTTAGCTAATCCAGCAGATTGAATTGCACCATAGACATTTTACACTGGGTCAGAAAAAAGAGACGGTGGACAGTTACTTGCATTGTGTACTTTGTAACACTGAGCAAACATGTAGCAACTCTGAAGAGGTAAACTATTTTAACAGGAAGAAACCTCTATCAGTACCAGGCTCAGTATGAATGGACTTCTGCTATACTCCACTGGGGGATTCATATAAAAGGAAGGTAGAAGCACTGATAAGGAATACTTTGTACAAAGCAGGAGGATGTCTTCAGTCAGAGGCTTCTTCAGACCCACTGTGAGACAGAGCACCACAGGAGATCCTTCCTGCCTACAACTATCAGAATCTTCAAATGATTCTTAAAGAACCATGAATAAACATTTAATCTCCCTTTTAGAGTTGATATATTTTTGCATGACCCTGACTTAGTTGGCAAGATAGCTTTAGCTCATTAAACCTGTTACTCTGCAAAGATGGTAAAAATGTACATATGGTTTCTAATAAACCAGTTGACTGAAAATTGATACATTTAGAAAAATATTAGATAATTATAAAAACCAAACATAATATTTTCTATATAATATAATATTTGAAACATTTTGGGGTTTAGTTTTTAGATTAAACCCATCATATTTTATTGTTTCTCTTTGGTGGTTGTCATACACTGAGAAACGACTGCCAGATTATATGGTCATTTCCTCTAATGCCCCAATGCATTTTCCTCCCTTCTTTTTCAACTTCTACAAAAAACTTTTGTACAACCAGCATTATAAGTAGCATCTTGTTTTTTTAAGCCAACTGTCAAAAAAAAGAAAAAAACCAAGAGAGGTTGGAACATGCTTTGTTGTCTGAGGGGAAAATGACTGAATGTGAGTCATAACGCTTGGGGGACAAGAGGGCAGGGGGTACTGTTGAGTGCTGTGCACTGAGAGACCTTCCGTACATTAAGGCAAGTATTGCATGTGGACGAGTGCTGGAGCCCAGCAGCAGCGTACCTGTCATTTCACACCTCTTGGAACATTGTGCCTGCACCTTGCGAGCATTTTGCTGCATGTTTCAGGGCTCAGACAGATAAGCTTGTCCACAAAGACAGATCTGTGAAGTGCATCGCTGTTTCTCATTTTTTAATACTAGGCACCTCTATGCGTACCTCAGTGATATACAAGGCCAGATTTATGAAACATGGCGCTTTGAAAATTACTGTAGCTGGGGCTATAAATAATAGTATAGCCACCCATTAATCAAGCGGGGCTCAAAATTGCAGATGCTTTACAACAGCGTTGTCGTCACTGGTTGGAATATACAGCCTGTCATCTTGTAGTATAGAACTGTACAGAGCAGGATGTCATTTTCTGGGACAGACCATAGCGCGTTGTCAAGCATACTTTAGGACTTCAGAGCATATTGGTATCTGCTATGTGCAAATGTATTCTCACACATAATGAAGCCAAGGAAAAGAGCGCATGTACTGAGGTTGGAAACAGCGGGTTTTCAACAGCAGAGCTATTTTCCCTTCATTTCTTTTCAACCATGATGATTTTCCTGCCACATTAACCCTCCAGGAACATAAGGTTACATTATTTAAAATATTTACCTCAAATGTGAATGAGACCTAATACAGGTGGGGAATGCTAATGTTTTTTTTTTTGCTTTTTCATCTGTTGGTTTGTGTATATTGATTGCTATGCCAAGCTAAGAGGCCACAGGGCTGCCTGGTGGCTCCGCTCCAATACCAATCACCGGGGGGACAGAGGAGGTGCAACACAACGGCTCAAAGCTTAGACCCAACAAAACAAGTTAATTATACGTCCAAGAGTTTCCTCAACAAAGTGCACTTTCACTGGTGCTTTTGGGAGCTAAAATATTGCAAAGTTTTATTTTTCATTTTTTAAGCCTAGAATTTATGAAAATGGCGGAATCACAGCTGTTGCTTAACAGTAGCCTGTCTAATTTCCCTCGGGTCATTACACCAACCCATATTATTATGAGAAAAACTACAAGTGCAAAAGCTTGGCTGAAAGCTAAGGAAATGTGACAACTAATAATTATTTTGCTGATGTAATTTTTGGACTTTAGCACTTCACAGAATATTCATGAGCTGTATAAAAAGTTTATTCTGAATTTTAAAACAATGACTAACTAATCTTTGCTCTGTAAATATTCCTAAGAGACATTTTCTAATCATTCAAATGTTTAAAAATCACAAACTGCATTTCCTTAAAAAGTATTTATCCTCCTTTAGTTTTTTTTTGTTAAAACCACATTGTTTAGCATATTTACAGTTTGATTTGTTTGTCAAGATAAAAAAACATGACATAATTGGTATAGAACAGTTAGTTTGCATAGTATTCAGATTGTTTTCCAAAAAAAATAACAAACATTTGGTTTTGATGTGCATTAAGACTCTTTTACCCTGATGCCCTTTAGTAAAATATCTATATGTTGTGAATGCTTTTATTTGACACTGAAGTAAAACTGAACATCACCCTAAAAACACAATCACCATGGGGAAACAAGAAATAGTATCATTGTTTTTTTGTTCATGCTTTTCTTTGGCAGCGCCAGCAAAGCTGGTCAAATTTGATGTACAGATAGACAGACAGATCTCTAAACTGGAAGAACATCTTCTTGTTGAAGAAAAATGATCCTAAACATTTACCCAGGGCAACATCAGAATGGTTTAAACATTAACAGATTTGGAGACAAACTCCATCAAAATATGACTGAGCTTTGGCTGCTTTGTGATGAATAGTTTGGAAAAAAATCCCCTTTATAAAAAAACAAAACAAAAAACTGGTAGAAACCTAACCTAAAAGACTTTATCCATTAAAAGCCGTGAAAGGTAATTCCTCCGACTACTGCTTAAGGAATAGGGAATACACATATCACCCTTTTTACATTTTAATAGTTGAAATGTTTAAGGACATTCATAATTTTCATCACTTTCCCTTTAATGCACTACTTTTTGTTGGCATATCACATGGAATCCTAAGGAAATACAAAGATTAGGATTGTAATTAATTGTAAGAAAATTTGAAAAAAGTAATAGGATATTAATACATCTTTACAAGACACAACACCATACTTGATTGACAAGGTTCTGCTCTTGACTGTTAATAAAATCTTTGATATACAATTATATTTAAAATGTTTTTAACAAAATCCTACTGGCTTGTTTCTTGCCAGTGGAGAGGGGACAGAAACCGATTCAGAAGTGGAGGATCGGGTGGATGGCATTAAGACGTGGCTCTCAAAGAACAAAGGCTCCAGCAAGACTCTGTCTGATGAAGGGAGTCTGAAGAGCACCAGGTTAGTCCCTACATTCTTTTGTATCGGATCTCATGATCGTGTAGTGATTAAATCGCCTTCATTTCCTATCTTCAAAAGGCCCACGATTACCTGGGGCATTGTGTAACAGAAGGAAGGCTATCTCATATGATTAGGTGTCAGCTCTCTTTTCTAGTAATCTGTCTAATGACAGTAGGTGGTGTGGGGAAGCGGCTGCTGTCACATTTATTGAGGTGGCCTGTGGCCAGTTGGAAAGCCTGCCAAATGACGCTTCTGACTCTGTCAGATAGGTTCTTTCACTAGCTGATTGCCTCACTTTTAGCAATGTACGCTGTGCATAACATCCATAGTCATAGGTGCAGGTTCCAAGGACAAAATGAAAATGACAGTGTCAAGCTGCCAAAAATGTAAAATCATCCCCGCCACTGATCTGGAGACAATGTTTCACAAAGCCAAAGATTAGGATTTATCATTTTAATGTATATCTTTCCTTGTGGTTATCTGTTGTGTCAATTTTGTTACATAACCCTCTAGATATGCAGCAAATGCAGATGCCACAGAGATGAAAGAAGGTAAGGAGAAGATGAGTGACAGCACCAAAGATAAAAAGGAAGTGGAGCAGACCAGATCAGTGTCTGTCATGAGTTCCCTTAGCTACAGAAAACGCTCCAACTTAAAGGACTCTATTGGTGGCACAGGAGACGAGAACTCATTATTTAGTACTCTCAAAGAACAGCCAAACATACCGGATCACGCTGCCTTGCGTAAAGCAAAGTCAAAGACTGGTGATCTTCAGGAAGACAGAAGAAAAGCTCAGGCTGAGGATGATATGGATGACAAGGGCTCTGTGATCTCTATGGCCTATTCTGAAGCCACTAGCAGAGCCAGGAAAGGCTTAGAGTCCCGCTGGACATCCCGCAGCACCCCAGAGTTTGATAATGAGTCCATGGTGTCGTCAGTAGCTCCAAGCAGACTGTCCACAAGGAGAGGGATGCTGGACATGGATGATGACAATAAATCAACCATCAGCAGCGTCAGTCGTACAAGCCCCCGATCTCTACGTCGCAGCAGCTCTTGGAAAGATGAAAAACGAAGCAGCTCTCGTTTGTCCCTCGCCCGCAGCTGTGGCCTCAGTGAGTTTGGTCTACATGTAAATGATAATGATGATGATGCTCACAGTGTGGCCTATGGAGATGGTAAACATTCACCTTATAGTCCCCGTTCCACTAGTCGAAGCTACTCTACGCCGCCTCAGCCACGCTCCTCAGACAGTAATCTACTTGAAGCGTCTGACATTAAACCGGTTACACACAGAAACTATTTGGACCCCGACCTGGAGGCTGCAATTAATGAGGTGCTGAGCTTCAAACCCATTAAGTTCAAACGTAGCAAACTGGATGAGACTAGTGGTGATGAGGAGGAGAAGAAGGGCGAGGACAGGAAAAAGAAGGTGGAAGATGAAGGCGCGTCAAGCTGGTCCAGTTCTTCTCGCAGTCGTAAGGATAAAAAAAGTAAGGTCTCGTCTTCGGACTCCTCTTCCTCTTCATCCTCCTCCTCCTCCTCCTCAGACGGTCGTCACAGCAGAAAGAGCACAAAAGGGAGAAAGGACAAGAAGTCCAAGAAGAAGTCTAAGAAAAAGCTAAGTGAGTCAGAAGATTCCTCTTCATCATCAGAGTCTTCCTCTTCCGATTCAACAGTCTCCTATCGAAGTTCTAACAGTGTTAAAAGGGGACCAAAACAACAACATGATGAAGAGAAGGAGCGTGCTTCTCATGGACAAGTAGGCGACAAAAAAAAATCAAAGAAGAAACAGAAGAAGGTGGATAGCCTGGTGATGAAGTACCTCTACAGGCCTGACAGTGACTGATGCCAATAAGGTGACGCATGGTGTGCTAACAACCACAGAGCCCGGCATGAATGAAAGAATTCTGGATTTTAACTCTGTACACTAACTTTGCTGGGGATGTTTTACTACTACATATAACCACTTTGATACTCTGCTATTTCCTTGTACAAGATAATCTTGGTGCCTATTTTCTGCGAGACAGGTTACCCTAGCTGTTATAGTTTTAAAGGGCTCATTTTAATATTTTTTTTATATTTTATCATCTTAAGCCTTCACAGTCCATGCATAACAAGTCCAGATTGCAGCAGTACTGAAAGTCCATAACACAGAATATAAACAGTGCAATTACTAACATGTGCTCACCTTTGACTCCATATCTCCCGATTTCTGTCATTGCAGTCCTCTAGACTGTGTTAGAAGCAAAGGTTTACACTTGCTATGAGGATTTTGACTGCATTAGCTTTTGCCACCAAAAAAAACAACTGATTTGGATTTATATGTAATAAAAAGTGTCAAGAGAATTACAGTAGATCAAATATTAACATCCTTGAAGCTTTTAGGCAAACCCCTCTTTAAAATTGTGTATACCACATGCCTAAACTACTCTTTTAAACAATAGGCAAGAAGTAGCGTATATGTACATACAAGTCTGTGTATGTCTACCAGAGATTGATAAGTAATAAAATACCCTTTCAGAAGTCTATAAACTGGTACCATAAATAAAAGCTGTTATAACATTGAGCCAATCTGAACAAACACATTGCCATCCTATGTGGAGACTTGGATTTCATGCAAGTGTAATTGCTGAAATTCTTGCTGTGACTCTCTACAATTTCACATGTAAATGCTACACCTGTACTAAACTGCCCACTCTTTCACACCATGTCCATATGCAACCCAACAATTTGGTTTCATTTTACCTTGCCATGTGAATGTCTTGCTTTTATATATTTACAGTTAAAAGAAAATTGTTTTTGCTCTAATAGTGTAAATATAGTCACTCTATATTGCAATACTTTACAAACACAAAAACTATTTACTTAAACTAAATAAGGCTATATTCAGACCTCTGCCATTATTTCTGTCTTTTAATGATGAAAGGCATTCCTGCAAATACGAGAAACTGTCTCTAATGTTGTTTTTGCTGCTGCTATAAGACAACTGTGTTTAAAAAAAGTGTCTGGTTGTTATTTTTCCTCCAGCAGCAACGGTAACTGGCGAAGAGACAGCCACAATTACACCAGTTTTGGTTTTCACTGTAGGTGTTGGCTTCATGCTCCAAAAGCAGCCCATTTTATTTTGGTTAGTTATGGTTGTTTATCCTTGGATCTACAAAAACAGTGGTTTTAAAATATATCATAGTGTACAAAGGCTTTTCTAATGGATTTCTAAAGTGTAGAGTTTTAACAATAACTAAAACGAAAACACAAGCAGCATCAAAATGCTGAAAAGTGCTGAAAATGTATAAACTAGCCCCACTCTTGTGTTACAACATTGCTAGCTGCTACGGGATGTCAGAGAAATGTCCCTTTGACATGGCTATAGATCTTGGTGGATACCTTATGAGTTAATAAAGGGATATTGTCATAAGCATCCCCTCTAGTTGAACAAAATGTATTCATACCTTTGACTGCTACTAGGGCAAGATATCCCTTTTGCGGAGAGATTTATATATAAGTTGTAAACACATTTTGACTATCAATCAAAATACTTTTGGGGAACCTGCCTTTACCCTTATACCCTTAAAATCCAACAACAACAAATATACACTAAGTAGAGAGTATTATGCTGGAGACTACCCACTATTGTAGCTTAAAGGTGTACAGCAGTTTTCTCCTGCTATTTAGATTTCCTATAGCAAGTTTAGATGGTCTCATCAGATCGGAGCATCTTTGTCCACATGCTTTCTGTATCCTTAACATTTTTGTGCCATTCTTTGAATGGAACTGTGAAACTTTAGAACTCCTCCTGAACTAGCACTGGTCCTCTGGAAGTTTTTTATTCTCCGTTTGCTTTCTTTGGCAGGCCTGAAAAATTGGGTGTGGGGTTCTGCCTTTGCCTGTCTGTAGTTGTGCCAAATTCTGTTACGTACATGACATACTTTGGAACATTATTCACTGAATATATTTGTAATGCACTGCAGAGCAGGATATGCAAAATACTTATACAAGCTAACATTGTTTGTATTCACAAGGTAATAAGTAAGTCTTCTAATTAACACCATGCATGAATGTTTTGCACATGCAGACTGGTTTGGTATTTGCCTATCAAGTGCACAATGTAATAAGTTAGCTTAGAGAGTGACTTTGCAGCTTAAATGCTGTTTGTTGTTTGCCCTTACATCTTTTAAAACTCATCTATCTTTTGTCTTTCCAATAAATTGGCAAGTCATTATATAATGGTGTGTCTGTATTTGTGTTGACCCCTATAGCCCCCCTGTGTACCGGAGACACATGAGTCTTGGCAGATCTGATGAAGAGGATGAGGCTGACAGAGACTCCAGCAGGCAGTCCCGGAGGCAAAGCAACAGCGAAGGCTTATTGATTGAGAGCTTGTCGTAACCCCTCAGTCAGGCAACCTTGTTCTTTCAGCGACACCAATCACACAGAAGGGACACACTTTGTCACTCCTCACTGTATTACCACTGCCCAGCAAGCAAGGACAGAGGAGAGAGGCACACAAAGACAATTTGTTAATGCTACACTCTGGACTTTTTCATCAGGCTTATCAAGGTACCTTTTATTAGCATAAGGGAATTTTCCTTTCCACAGCTGAATTGTGCCTCTTCACTTAGGGCAACATACCGAGTTAGTTAATCATAGCAAAATATAAGTGGAACACTATCTAAAGAACTTTCTGCTGCTGCTTTAATTCATGAGAGCTTCTTTTCAGGCAAATTTAAGCTCTCTGCACTCTGCTCTGACTGTTCACATTGCTCTGCCAAGAGGATTTAGATAAGCTGCTCCAACTGGACTCCTTCAAGAAGGTCTGACCAACTATTAAGATTATTCTTATCTCCTTTCCATTCATGTGGACTGGCACAGTGGGAGAAATTAGCCAGTTTTCAATTAGTTATCTTGCTGTACGTTTACACAGGGCTCATGTTCCAAATTAAGATATCTTGGTATGAACAAATTGATGCTGTGAGATGATATGAAAGTAAAATAATTTGTGAAAATAAACTTCTGTTGGTACAAAGCTGTTAGATGGTTAAATGAGATCTTTTCTTCCAAAAAGTATTTATTTTATCTTTATACATTTAATATTGCATCTGGAATTCAATACTTTGATCTATATTTAAATGAAGACTTTTTTTTTAAAAGCTTGTGAAAGAGTGACTGTTATGATAAATTTTGCTATATTTATGTTTTTCCCTTTGCACCAAGTGGGGTTACACTAAAATACTTCACATTTTGCTCTCTAATGGGATACCTCTTGAAGTTCAGCAGGAATGTGTTTTTCGGTCATATATTAGCTTTGCATCAGTTGTGTAGTGATGGTATACACAAAATAATACAGTATTTTTAAGAGCTCTAGGTTGCAGGTTTAATCTGTGTCCCCGAAATATCTGCTTTAATGCCTCAAATTTAGGTTAAGTAATGTTTAAATGTCATTGGTTCCAGCGGTAAAATACTTATACATTACTTTTTTAGGGCATTATTCCTTCAGTGTGCCAAAAATCTCTATTTGTAGATTGTGTTTTAAATAAGTGGTTCAGTGAGATCGATAAAAGTATTTAGATTAAACATCCAGGTTCTATTTTCACAATGCAGAGTTCACCCACTGCATACAAAATGCTGGCAGGTGGAGTTAAGCATAGCAAATCACTACAATGGCATTTACTCCTCGGTGTTCCAGTTAATCTTTCCTTTCATGTGGGTGCACCAGTGATAGATTCCACTTAAGAGTGATGTTTCCTGCAATCGGTGACCTCTCCTTGCAGAATAATGCAGCCATCCTTTTTCACAGAAACTACCCTGGAAATAAACTAGGCATGGGTTGGTACTGGATGAGATTCTCTGGAGTAAAATACCTCAGTTTTGCTGTGATTCCACTAAGATTAAAAGCAAACATCTAATAGAAAGGTAGCAATTATTTATACCGCAGCTAAAATGATGTATACAGGTAAAATAAAGATAATTGTATCATTTTTTTATTTGAAATTGAGACACAGACTTAAGCAAAGATACACTAATATTACTACAACACTATAAATGTGTTTTTTTCTGTTTATCATATAAGACAAGTTTGACAAGTTAATAAGAAACTGGTCTATTTAGTAGGGCTATCTGCACTGGCACTAAACCTGCTGACAGCTAATCAGCAGCCATGTTGTTTCGGCTTCCGAGCTAAACAACATTGGTTGTTTGAAATTATATCCTTTCTTTATATCCCTCATTCCTTCTTAGGAATGAGGGATGGTGTCCCATTAGGTTCAATACAATAGTTCTCTGTGCTTTTCGAGAAAGGATATAATTTCAAACAGCCAAAGTGGTCTTTCTTAATAACAAGAGAAAAGTTTAGGGGCCTTTTAGCAGCCAGTTTACCAGTAGTGGGCAGAAACAAGTAGGGGAGGGGCAGCTCTGTTACACTCTGCATCACTCCAGTCATCCTAAACCTTTCTCTGGATTTTGGCCTGATTTTACATCCAGTCCAGGAAAAATCAGTTTCTTCTTTCTACATTTATTCATGCAGCATTAAAGACAACAAAATCACTCAAGGCGTGTTGCAAGGTCATTATACCTAAACCTATGTACTGATTGTTTGCTGAAGCTACTCAATATATAACTTCTCTACTTTTCTTGACTTACCACTCGGGGTGTGATAAGATTCCTTTGTTTTTTTGTTGTAATTTTTTAAAACTGGTACACCCTGATGCTGGTAACCACCCATGGCTAGTACAAATAAAGATGATGCACCGCTCGCAAGTCTCCCACCTTTCAGTTTGATTTGGTTATCTATAAAATGTGCTAAAAACAAATCATATCTTCTGGCAACTAGCTGTGCAAATCAGTGGAAACAAAGGATCTGGTTTCCCAGAGCCAGACCGCACCCAACAACCAACCACTGACTCCCATGTTTCCTCCCTGGGCAAAGCTACTGTGTACTGTTAATAAGGTGGTTACTTGCTATAAAGTTGCCAAAAGATTTCTACAATTTAACCTCAGTCTTCTTTATGAGAGATTTTGTTAAAACTTATCCAAAACACATTACATGCTTTGCCCGATTCATGTCATTTATACTCATTAGCCTTGCTCCTTTGACATTTAAATAAAAAAAAAATGGTTGCTTATTTAACAGTGTAATTTTAACCCCCAAGTGGTAAAAGCAGATCAATTATAAGGATGGTGCTGTCAACACTTTAGCTGATCTTAATTGATTAGATAGGTGCGGCACATGGATACAGTGTTTGTGTGCGTATGTCTGGCTCATGCTATTTGCATATCAGAGAAGACTTATTAGCATTTTTGTCTTATTCTTTTCAGTTTTTCTTTCCATCTAACATGAATATTAATAAGGAAAACAGTAAACTTTGATGTCAAAAGATTTAGAATACTCATTAAATTAAGGTAACATAACTTGCTTTTACTTTGAGCTGGAGTTTACAGGCATTATATAAATGCTTTTGAAAAGTGTGCACACTATCAATTTATTTTTCCTTTGGTGTCAGTTTTTAAATTGCCGTACTACTTGTATGAGTGGTTTTTAATTCTTTTCAGGAAATAAATGTTTGTTTATGGAATCTATATTGCCTTTGTGGGTTTTTTAGTGCAGTTAAGTACAACATTTTTTGTTTTTGTTTCTTTTTCCCCATTTTCAGAAAACTGCTGCTGAAAAGCAGGTCAAAAAGGGGGCTGAATAGTTTTGGCAGAACATCTTTCTGATGTGTTTGATTAATTTTAGCTCATCCACCTCTAGAGAAGGGCCTCATCATACCCCTCCAGTTTTCCCGGGAGATCCTGGTGGAAACAAGCAGTTCATAGAAATGATTAATTCCAAGCAGATGAAAAGAGACACTGAATGCAGCTCATCCTACCTTGTGAGATTTGGGTTGTTAATATGACTGCTGCAGAGCTACGCAGTTCAAGCCTGAGCTTAGGGCAAATTCAGGAAGATCAAAAACTCAGTGCAAGCATAGTCTTCCCCTCCACATCAATCTCTTTTTCTACATAGGTAAAGCTTACCTAGATCCAAAGGGATTGATGGTTTTAGATTACCGCCCAGGTTGACATTCTCACATACACACAAAAAAAGTGTGCTTTCCTTCAAAGGATACCCTATTTATCCAACCAATCTGTAATCCTCATTCTATACACAATGTGTTCTGGTGCTTCCCTCTGCTCGGGAGCTTTTGCTGTGATTTCACCTCCCTTGCGTTCACCCTCTGGATGGCTGCTTGTTGCTGCTTAAAGGCTTTCCACTGAGTGACAGATTAAATTCTGCTCCTGATTTTACTTATTTTGGCTGTAACACTGTTTCACAAGCCACTGGAGCAGGAAGTCATTAGCTCGACAAAGCCAAGCAAGCCTGTGTTTACGGTGCCACCCTCCCTGTTATTTAAACCCTGAGGAAGGGCCTTAGTCATTTGCTGCACTGCAAGCGTAATGCTGCTTCTCCATGGCCAGTGTTTCCCTCTGTAAGAAAAGAGAAAAGGCCTTGGCTTTAATGTTTGGTTAATTTACTCTCCTACTGAAACTTTTCTTTTAGTTATTTTCTGGCATTCTTTTTAATTAGAATTTAGATATAGAACATAATTGGTAGATTAACACAGGTGCTTCTCAATAGACAAGAATATAAACTAAGTACTGATGGATAAGGACATTGGTGCCTCCATTTAGCTTGCAACGAATGGGAAGCACAAATTGCTGTATTTTTAGAAGACAGCTGTACTGACTAAGTGAACGAACACCAAGGCAAGTTTATAATTGCGCTTGATAATTTATATAACCACCAATTAACAGAAATGATAAATTCACACTAATAAATCAAAAAACACAAAATTCAAAATGGAAATAAATAAAAATTTACTAAATGATAATTGAGTCAAATAAAATTGTTATTTTGGAGTTTCATAAAAGGAAACAAACAAAAAATAACCCTACACTGAAATCAATGGGTCTTATGCAAGAGTGGTTAATACAAACAAATAATTCTTAAATCATTCATACGTCAGATTTAGGAGAAAAAGTCGCATTTTATGAGTGCTCCAGACATGATGTTGGTGTCTTGCACAATCAGTCAGCTGTTATCCTAGTTAGTTTTTCAGTAAATGACCCAATCTGTTATTACTTAAAAGCAATTGTCCATTTTATTAGGCCACACCATTCTTTTATGCAACTGTGCAACAATAAATTACATTTTTATTTACTGATGAGAGAACTATCAGTCACTACACCTGCTGCGGGCATGTCAGTATCCAGGGGACACTGGTCATTTCATCAAAAGAAAAGAAAATCAGTAAGCTCCATATGAGATCAAGCTACCACTGAAATAATTTCTGGAACAGAAAATGGATCGAAAGTTGAGCATGAGGTTAAACAATGTGGTATTAAACTCTTCTAACCTTAAGCAAGCATTAGGTTCACTGCATGATGCCGCCTTGGCTTTATTGCACAAAACATCTCAAATAATTGGCAAATTTGGTACAAACTACAGTATATTGTTATTCAGCCAAAAAGTTTGTGCCTAAAAATTAATCATAGTTATGAGAAAGAAAGAAAAGAAGGTAGAAAAGAAGAGGGAAAAAGTTTTGCTTCCATTTATATATTATTAAAATATGTTTTATGAAAAATATTCATAACTTTCTCAAAGTGGAATGTTAACGTTTGGGTCTGCATGACTTCATCAAATTAAAGTTTCAGCTAAACATTTTCATGCTCATGTGCTGTATGAGAGAGATGGAGAGTGCAATGAAGGGATGACAAATAGGGTCTGGGGATGAACAGAGCACATCTGTACACATCATTTTCACTTAAAAATATTTTTCGTATTTTTACTTGTGTAACAGTGCAGCCATTGCATTTACAGCACAACCTAGATCTCCCTTATTTGTCTTCAATGCCATTTCTGTGAATGAACACTGCCTGAAAAGCATTGGAAGTTTTAGCCTTATATGGAGCTGTCAAGGCGGTAATTATGCAGATTTATATTTCTCAGGAACACATGCTCACTTATGCACAAATAGACTGCATCAGGTTTATGAGGATAATTTCTGATCATTTACTGAAATGAAGAATGTTTTGTTGGAGCCCACATTAGGAGACTGCATGAATGCAGGAGATGTTGCATGAGGCCCAAATTCTCCATCAGATGACAAGGCTCCTCCCGTTATCACCAAATATGGAAACTTCAGGCTTGACTTAAAGCAGCATAGATCCTGTGCTTCCTCACACTGCCTCTTGAATCTGGGATATTGATTTTCATATAAAATACCAAAGTTTAATTCACGTGGAAAAACATTCATTGATATAACAAATGGCTGTTGTAGTGGGTGTTCTACATATACTGTGTCTTCGTGGCACCTCTTTAATGGGGATTGCTTCAATATCATTCTCATACCTTTTTTTTTTTACCTGACTTTTTTTTTCTTCCACTTAACTTTTTTTTATTAAGAATTCTAATTTTTGAACGGATAGCTTTTTGAGGCATTACCATTTGTGGCTTGACCTGATTTTGAAGGATCCTGATGACTGTCATCTATAGCGATAATTCAGCTCATGCTGTTGGGAAAGAAAGGAAAAACATAAGATTTTACCATTACAAAAATATGTTTATATGTTTCATTTGTTTTGTTATATTAACCTTTTCTATAAAAGTGAATTCTGAGATTTTGTTGATTTTCTTTTCTTTTTTTTTTTATATTAAATATTTTTCATCAAATAGAAATCTTGAAAATGTGACTTTTTCATAATTTTTTTATTCTTAACAGTTTGAAGGTTTTTGCACCCTCTTAACAGCAGTTCCAAATCCGTAGGAGTTTGTTAGAAACATATTCATGAAAATGACAAAAATGCACCTTATAATGGACAAAGCATATAGAGGAGCCAAACAAAGAATGAGTGAATCCTGAATGAAAACAGTTTTATCTCCAGCAGCCTGCATTCTCTACGCTTCTCCTTGGTTTGACCTTGGTTGAAGGCCACTCCTACAGAAAATGCAAGCAGGAGGCTGTTTGAGTGAAGAACGTGTTTATCAGGCATCATCCTCGACTATTAGCACTCCCACTTTTGTGGCACGATGCCTGCTGTCAATAATGCACTGATTGGAGGCACTGGGACACTGCCTGCAGGGACCAGGTGAGGAGGCTGCGTTCATTTGCAATTCTGAGATGAAAAGGAGCAGCAGAGTGTGCTGCTCGGGTGCCTCTCTTTGTTTGCACATATCATTTCCACTCTAATGAACGCTGCACAGTGGTGAGCCCTTGTAAAAAGGCTCAAAGGTAGGCTCAAACATTGTTTACATTTCGCATAGGTCTTTCAGGTACCCAGGAGAGACATGGAGCTGTTTCTCCATCTCCGCTTGCCTTGGTGTTTCAGGCATTAGCAAAATAACATGATTCATTTTAGTCTTTAGCCACTGTGAAAGGGAATAGGAGTTAAACCTTGAAAGCAA